AACACCACAACCTCGCAGCTCCAAGAGAAGATATACTTGATCGACCACCTTAAGGCCGAAATGAACGAGGTCAAAGCCTCGGCCGAGGAGTTGAGGAGAAAAATGGATCTCCTAGCCTCGGAACGGGATGCCACCAAAGAGGATTTGGAATCAACCAAGGATCAGCTCCGGGAGATGAAGGTTAAAGCCGACAAATGGTCTCGGCTGAACGATGAGCTCCGAGCACAACTAGAGTCGACCATCACGGAATGGGATGCCCTCGGCCAGGAGTACACCGCACTGAAGTCCAAGTTGGAGGCGGCATCGAACGAGTCCTCCAAAGTTCAGGATATACTGGCCCAATATAAGAACGATGTGGAGGTGGCCGAGGCCCGCATAATAACAAAGGTTGAGTACGTGAAGTGCTATCCCGGAGGAAAACTCTCGAGGAGAATTATGCCCGGGGTTTGATCTAGCGGCCGAGATCAAATAGGCCTGAGGCCAAGGCCAAAGAGAGATACGAGCCCGAGGGTTCAGGCAGCGAGTTGGGCTCCGGGGAAGACTAGGCGGGAAATACCTTAGTTTATTTTTTGTTTTCTCTTGCAAATTTTTTATTTATTTTGGGGCAGCTTCACAGTGCCTCTATAAATACCTTTTGATACATATATAAGAATTTTCCCTTTGGCTATATTGTGTCCTTTTCTTTTTAGTCTTTTCTTTATGTTCGAGACTTATAACTCGTGTTTCAGTCTTCAAAATATGCCATTGATGCCTTAACATAGAATTTGACATAACTTAGACCCAACGCCCAGATAAGGCATGGGTTAAATAACAACTCTAAGTTGCTTTGACTTCGAAGGATCTAATAAAAATGGAAGTATTTATTAAAACATTCAAATGTTTTAACCGGACACGATTATTCTTTGTCGAGGGTGGATCTTTTCATCGTCGGGTTTGAAGTAATCTTTCATAAATTAAAAAACGTGTAAGGACCTTAATTTTTATGTACGGACTAGGATGTCTCCAAGTCGTTTTAAGTTGGCCCTAGCCATTCGTATTTGGGCACTGCCTACTAGGCTCGATGTCTCCAGGGTTTGGCAGCCCGAATTGCCCTATCTTATTATCGGGTAGCAGTTCCCGGTTCGGGGAGGCCCATAGGCTAAAAGGTTTTGAACCAAATAATCACTTTAAGTAACTTAACGATAACATTGCTGGTAGAAATGTAATCCGATGAGACATAGAAGGCAAACTTCTTTTATTACTTTGAACGTAGTGTACATAATCAAAGGTACAAAAGATATCTGCCATGACGATAATGAGCTATATAGGTACGGTTCGTTCGACCGTTTGACCCTTACAATCAATTCTAATATTCAAGCCTTTGCTTTCACTATCGAATAAAAAAGAAAATGCCTTATAAATTTCCTAACTCAAGACCTCGACTCAGGGTGTGATGTCTCCCTAGTATTCGAGACTGAATTTGTGAGGGCTCGAATACTATTAGTCTAATACGGGTGATCCGTAGTGTCCGGCCTCAGGCCGGTTATCAAAATTAAGGTAACACATTTTACTCTTGCCTTGTTAAAAACCTTGTCGTAAAACTCACTTCGGGAAAAAATCGGTATAAGGGAAAAAGAGTGCAACGCGTGCTTTCAGACCTAATCCTTGGATTCGATTTTGGCTAAGTACCTGCACGGGTTAGTTTAAAGCATGATAATCCATAAAGAAGATCGTGTCCATACCTTAGCAGTAGTATCGTTTTAGGTGTGCCACATTCCAATTGTTGGGTAATTGCACCCCATTTTCGGATTCGAGCTGGTACGAGCCTTTCCCGATTATGCCGGTTACTCTGCACGGTTCTTCCTAGTTCGGGCCTAGTTTCCCGTTATTCGGGTTCCTGATATGAAGTGTAACTTTCCTCAGTACCAATTCCTCAACTTGGAAGTGTCATAGGTTTCCCGTCATTTGGGTTCCCGGGCTCTGAGACGTGGAACCCCTCGGCTTTACTGGAGGTCATGTCAGATTGTGCTTCTCTCTCGTTTCTGTACCGAAAAATTGGGGATAATTTTATCACTGATTTTACCCGTACGCACATATATATATATATATATATATATATATATATATATAAAGTAAAAACCGCCCTCTTTGTCTCCTCTAAAATGTTTTAGTAACTTCCTAGCGTTCATTTTCAAAATCAGTTTGTTTTTTATTTTACCTTACAAGTAAAAAAGAATTATGATACAACTTTACAAAATAAAAAGTAGAACAAAAATTTAAGTTGTATTAAACCACCGTTTTCCAGTTTCTTGCCGCACGAACGCAAGCTACATTGCCATTAATTGTGATGTAACGACTAGGGGTGGCAAAATCAAGCCAAACCCATTTGACCTGCCCAACCTGTTCAAGTATTAATGAGTTTGGGCTGGAACAGTTTTAATGGGTTTGACCTGCCCAACCTGTTCAAGTATTAATGAGTTTGGGCTGGAACAGTTTTAATGGGTTTGACCTGCCCAACCTGTTCAAGTATTAATGGGTTTGGGCTGGAACAGTTTTAATGGGTTTGACCTATGGACTGTTTTGGACTAGTTCAAGTTAACCCATAAAATATCATCAGCCCAAATGGACCCATGATGATGCCCAACCTTGACTCATGAAAATGCTCAATCTTAAAGTTCTACCTTGACCCATGTTCTTGAAAATATTTTTTAATTTTTCTATATTTTGTTGGTTTAAATATTTGAAAAATATTTTCTTTATGAATTTGTTTTTCTCCAATTGGTGGAAAATATTTCCGTATCAAGAGAAGAGAAAATGTGTTTCACAACCTTTTTTCAACTTTCCCCATCTCAACCAACCTCTACCCCTACCCTCCCCCCACTCTCACTCACGCTCCACCCAATCCCACCCCTATGTCGACCCTCTCATCCTAAATATATAAAAATATTATTTAGAGTACTTTCTTTTCATGATGTAGAAAAAGTATTTTCTTTTTGACAAAATGGGTACTTTCTTTTCATATTGTAAAAAAAATATTTTCTTTCATTTCAATAAAATGAGTACTTTTGTGAAAAAGAAAATACTTTTTCTACATCATGAAAAGAAAGTACTCTTTTTGATGAAATAAAAGAAAATACTTTTTCTACAATATGAAAAGAAAGTACACATTTTATAAAAAAAAATACTTTTTCTACATCATGAAAAAAAAGTACTCTTTTTGTTGAAACAACAACAACAACAACAACAATCCAATGAAATCCCACAAGAGGGGTCTGGTGAGGGTAGTGAGTATACAAACTTTACCTCTACCCCGAGGGAGTAGAGAGTACACTTTTTGTTGAAACAAACGAAAATATTTTTTTCTACAACATGAAAAGAAAGTACTCATTTTGTAAAAAAATAAATAATGAAAATAAAGTACTCTTTTTTGTTGAAACAAAAGAAAATATTTTTCTACAACATGAAAAAAAGTACTCATTTTGTGAAAAAGAAAATATTTTTTTTCTACATTATGAAAAGAAAGTACTTATTTTATTGAAACGAAAGAAAATACTTTTTTTTACATCATAAAAAGAAAATATTTATTTTGTTGAAATGAAAAAGAAAATACTCTATCTACAACATTAAAATGAAATACTTTTTCTACAACATAAAATGAAAGTACTTATTTTGTGAAAAATAAAATACATTTTCTAAATCATGAAAAGAAAGTACTCTTTTTGTTGAAATAAAAGAAAATATTATTTCTACAACATGAAAAGAAAGTACTTATTTTGTGAAAAACAAAATGCTTTTTCTATATCATCAAAAGAAAGCAAATACTTTTTCTACATCATAAAAAGAAAATAATTTTTTTGAAATGAAAAAGAAAATACTCTATATACAATATTAAAATAAAGTACTCTAAATAATATTTTTATTTAGAGTAGGAATGAGATTCGGGGGTAGCGTGGGGGTTGAGGTGGTGGGAGGTGTGTTGGGTGGGTGAAAAGTTTTAGTTTTGCTACATTTTTATTATTCTTATCTTTGTTATTATTATTATTATAAGATGAAGGACTATCAAATAAAATTCTAAATCCAAATTGAAGAAAGAAATCATTTGGTATGAATTGACATTTATTTCAAAACATAAGATAATTTTTATATATGATTATTTAAAAGTTGAGAATATTGAAAAGATTTGGATCAATTTGAGCATGTTGGATTACAACCCATTGTTTAGCCCATCTTGACCCAACCTATCTAATCTAAGTGAACTTTGGGAAGGGCTGAACAATGATCCATTTAATGAGTTAGCCCATCATAACCAGCCCAAATACAGTCCAAATAACCTATTTATCACCCCTGGTAACGACATTAGATAGACACTCATTCGAAGTGCAACGAAGATTGCCAACCTAAGCATGAATTTTTATGATAGCTCATTCACCCCCTTCCATTGGCAGTTTGGAACAGAAATCAACAACCAATACTTGTACTCTCAAAGTTTTTTAAGTTTTATGGCCTGTGTGGCCAAGTTTCTGCAAAACCAAAAATATTTTTTTTTCTTTCGAAATAGTAATTTTTTTTAATTTTTTTTTATTTCAAAGTTGAGGTGTTTGACCAATCTTTTAGAAGAAGAAAAGTACTTTTAAGTAGAACTAGAAGTAGTTTTAGAGAAGTAGAAAAAAATAGCTTCTCCCTAATAATATTTTTTTGAGAAATACTTTTGAGAAAACTATACTTAAAAATACTTTTTAAAAGCTTGGCCAAACACTAATTACTGCTCAGAAGTAATTTTCAAATTAATTAGCCAAAAAAACCGAGAAAAATACTTTTGCAAAAAATATTTCTCAAAATAAGTTAATTTTAGAAGCTTGACCAAATAGGCTATTAATTTAAACTGTAGGAAGAAATTTCTTTTCATTATAGCCTCATGGACCAGATGGCCCGTGGGCCTTATACATTGAACCATTGGCCATTGGTAATATATATATATATATATAGGTTAATAAGCAACAGCTGAGTTCTTGGTTTGGAGAATACCCACACTGCTGAGCCCTCCAATGGAGGATCAAATCCTCTAACAAAAACCTACCCGACTCCTGGCCCAAATGCCAAATAAATCCAAATCTAACAGTGAATGTCGAGTAGTTCATGTTCATGGTATTTGCTTTTCTTTTTCTTTTTCACGTTTTCGCTTTTCTTATGCATTAGGATTCACATGTTTTTAATATACTTTTCATTTTCCCCAAGAAATTATTTGAGCATTTTTAGGTCTATCTTTTGATATTACAACAGGTTATACATACTATAAGGAACTAACACTATTAAAGAAGTCTTTTTTTTCTTTTCTATTTTTTAACATTCCATATTTCTTTTTTTTGGTCAAATGGAACTTCCTTTCACCTACAGATTTGTCGTTACTACTTACGAATCTTTTATTTGTTCTCAAGGCTGACAGCGATAGGAACCTGGACTATACGGGTGGGCTTTTTCATGAAGCTACTGCTATCGGGTGATTGACATTTGGCAGGGATGATCCTATAAGAGACCGGTCTTTAAATATTATCCCGTTTTTAATATATGTAGAAAATAATCTTCGGCCTCATGTATACTTATCGATTGTCGGTGATTTTACTACCGGATTGGTAGATACTATGCGATATTTACTCTACCTATATTGTTAACTGATCATAATCTCTATCCAATTGACATGACTTTGTGATTATTCAATTCTTCACAAAACTCTACGATATTGGCATGACTTTGTATTATTTGCATTCGACCTTATTAAAAGGGGAAATGGAGCTAGGTTAGAGAATGAGAGCTTGAGTCGGTTACAGAGAGAAGGATAGAGAAAATCTCAATTTCATTTCTTCAATCTTAATTACAATGTGTATGTACATGCCTATTTATAAAACTCACTAACTAGCTAACTTAACTTTCTTCTAACATAGTCCTTAGCTTACTAATTATGCAACCAACTAAGTACTATTCTATATCCATCAAGTACAACTGTCACAGCTACTAATATTTTCTACACTCCTCCTCAAGTTGGGTGATGAAATACATTGATCATCCCCAACTGGTATAACATTTCACGGTGTAGTTGTTTCCCTAGAGCCTTAGTTAGAATATCTGCAACTTGCTCTTTGCTGGCAACATGTTTTGTCTTGATTAACCCCTGCTGTAGTTTTTCCCGGATGAAATGACAGTCTATCTCTATGTGTTTGGTACGATCATGGTACATGGGATTCGATGCTATTTGAAGAGCTGCCTTGTTATCATAAATAACTCCATTGGTAGATCAACCTCCATTCCCAATTCCTCTAACAGCCCATGCAACAAAACCAGATCTACTACTATGGTTGCTATACTCCTATACTCAGCCTCAGCTGAGCTTCTTGATACTGTACTCTGCTTCTTGGACCTCCAGAAAATTAGTGATTCTCCCAGCTTTATGCAAAGCCCAGTAACAGACTTTCTAGACACCATACGAGATGCCCAATTAGCATCACAAAAGGTAGTGATCTTCCAAGACTTGTTGCTGCTCATCAGAAGTACTAGGCCTCACTGGCTTTTCACATATTTAACCAACCTTAATGCAGCTTCATAGTGTGACTCTTTTGGAGTATGCATAAACTAGCTCAGTGTTCGGACTGCATAGGATATGTCTGGCCGTGTGATTGCCAGGCAAAGCATTTTTCCCATCAATCTCTGATAAGATCTTCTATCTTCCATCTCTTTATCATTGTCAAGTTCAAACAATTTGTCATACTCCAAACTAGTGACTTCTGATTCTGCTCCAAAGGGATTATAGCTGGCTTTCCTCCCTGTAAGCCACATTCTAATATCAACTCTAAAGCATATCTTCTCTGGTTCATGAGTATGCCTTTGGATGACCTGGCAAACTCTATACCCAAGAAATACTTCAACTCACCCAAGTCTTTCATTTTGAAGTTGTTATCAAGGATGTGCTTGGCCTCTTGTATCAGCTTGATGTCACTACCAGTAATAAGAAAATTATCAACATACACTAATATTATGACAATGTATGTATCTTGCCTTTTAGTAAACAGGGAATAATCTAACTTGCTTTGAGTAAAACCTGAATTGATAAGAGCAGTGGTAAGCTTCAAGTTCCATCGCCTACTTGCTTGTTTGAGGTCGTATAGTGATTTGAGGAGCCTGTAAACCTTATTCTCCCCCTGGCTACCAAATTGCTGTGGCAAGTACATGTAGACTTCCTCAAACAAGTCTCCCTGAAGAAAGGAATTGTAGACATCCATCTAGTAGAGTGGCCAATTATGCTGAGCAGCCAAAGACACAACACATCTGACAGTCACCATCTTCACTACTGGAGAGAAGGTGTCATGGTAATCCAAACCTTCTTGTTAGGTAAAACCTTTGTCCACTAATCTGGCCTTATACCTTTCAACACTACCATTTGCCTTATACTTCACCTTATACACCCACTTACATCCAATGAGTGTTTTACCTACAGGAAAATCCACCACTTCCCATGTATGATTGTCAGTGAGGGCTTCAATCTCAAGCTTCATAGCCTGAATCCAATTGCTATCCTTGGCAGCTTGCTCAAAAGATATAGGTTTAGTAATAGAGGAAAGAGCTGTCAGGTATGCTTGATAGGAAGAAGAAAGGGAAGAATAAGATAAGGAGGCAGATATTGGGTAGGGGTGACAGAAGAGTGGACATAATCTGTGAGCCATATAGGAGGTTTGGATGTCCTAGTGGACTTTCTCGAAGGTGGTAGTGGTATAGGAGATGAGTGGGAACTGGAGGTAGATGAAAGGTCAGGGGATGTAGGTTGAGAGATAGGTGATTGAGGAACAGGTGAGTCCAGAGATGGTAAGGAATCAGTGATGCTTTGCTCAGAAGGTTGAGGGACTGCGTAGTTTGGAAAAGAATCATCTTTGAATGATGAGAAGTTAAAAATGAGGTAGATGGTTCAAAGAAAGTGGACTTAGAAAATCCGAAACGGAACAATGACTCTCTAAAAGACACATCTTCACTAACAAAGAAGGAGCTAGTGGCAATATTGTACAGTTTGTATCCTTTTTGAGTATCTGAATATCCCATAAACACACCTGGGATTACTTTGGAAGAGAATTTGTCAGTAAAGTTGGGTTTGGTTGCATAACATAAACAACCAAATACATTGAGATGTTGAATTGAAGGAGGTGTGATGATGTCCACAACACACCTCTATAGGAGATATGATACAGTCGTATGCAATAATAGTACCCAACAAGAGTCGGGGTCGATTTCCACAAGGAGTTATGAGGGGTGTTAGGAGTATATATTTGAAGCAAGCAAATGAGTTATCTAAGATTGCACTTCTACAACAAGGTTTTGATTTCTATTTCTACTGTTACTCTAATGAATGCAAGCTAAAGAAAATAGATTACAGATAAATATTTTTGAGGTTTTTCCAATGGGATTAAGGGCCTAGGACTGTGACCATAACCTAGGTGCTTGCCTAATGGGATAAAGATTTTTATACTCATTTTGTTGATTGAGGTGTATTATAGCTCTCAACTCCATGTAACCCACTCAATACCTCTCGGTAAGAGAGTGATTTTTCCCAATTTGTCTTTCTCAAGCCCAAATGGGTATCAACCAAAACAGTTGATAAGAGCTCAAGTCGGGTTCTTACTATCTCTAGTTTGAACCCTTTAGTTAGGTTAATCAATGTCTCAATTAATCCAATTCCTTGTTAGCTAAGTTATCCTAGACTAGGTATCCCTTTCTCAAGTAGAGACTAAGTCAAATAGGCATGAATCAATGTTTGCAACCATTAATTCTAAAATTGAAGCTTGAACTAAGCTAAATAATCAACACCCAATCATAAACAAACATAAAATTAATCACCCAATAGGTTTACACACTAGGGTTGGGTCACAGCCCTAGTAAAAATCTAGCTACTCATAATGGGATTTGAAGAAAATAAAGATGAAGAATTAATTAGACTCATAATGGAAGATTAAAATGATAAACTCTAATGTTAAAATACTCAAATAAGCTAAAACTTCCTAAAATAGCAAAGAAAAACGGCTACAACAGCTGTGTATGTTCAAACTTGACCTAATTTTGTAAAACTCATCTATTTATACAAGGCTAAAAATTATGGACAAAAATTCCCCTGAGGAGGTTCTGCGGCCGCACAATTCCATGTGCGGTTCGCAAATTTATTCAGTTGTAAGGAAGGTGAGTTCTGTGGCCGCGAGAAAATCTTCTGCGGCCGCACATTTCAGGACTGCGGCTGCGAGGCAATCTTCTGCGGTCGCATAATTCTTCTGCGGTCCGCTCTTCACGAAGGCTCCTGGACTTGGTCTTTTTTCATACTCTCTGATCATTGACTCTTAAGCCAGTTTTGCGGCCGCACAATTCATGTGCGGTCCGCATATTGCTGAAAGTCATGTTGGGCATTTTTTCTTGGTTTGCGGCTGCAGATGGAATTCGGCGGTCCGTAATTTCTTCTGCGGATTGCACATTTGTGCTTCTGCGCCCTTTATTGACTTATGCTTCGGAACACTCCTTTTGAGTCGGATTTCATCTCGGAAGACCAAACTTCTAGTATTCCTGCAATTTACACAATTTCATTAGTTTCGGAAACACAATACTTTTGGGCTAAACAAAATCTAAAAGGTGCTAATAAGCAGTCAAAATCCTAACTTATCAACTCCCCCAAACTTAAGTCTATGCTTGTTCTCAAGCAAATAAATTAGTTCCCACCTCCAAAAGTTAAAGGTCATTTCAATGAGGCAAATATGATCCATCCACACATCAGTTGAGACCAACAATTACCCACACTAATCATGTATTATCAACAAGGCGATAAGTTAAACATTCATGTAGATATAATTCTAATGTGACATTTGAGCTCCAAGCATTGACATTACTCATCAAGGACTCTTGCTCTATCATGTAGGTCATGGTGGATCCCAAACTCTTCCTCCTCTACTTTCCATTCTCCTAGCTCACTTAAGAAATTTAGCACTCAATCCAAAGATTTATGAAAGGCTCACTCATCTCTCTCAAGAGAATGTCACAAGTACGGCCTCAAGTACCATAGGCTTGCCCCTTATGTAGATCACCACTAATGTAAGCTCACTCAGTTTGAAATCAAGTAGTACTTCTTTCGGGATGTAATGAAGGCTTTTGGATTAGGGTAGGATAATGTATGGTAAGTGGTTACACCTTTCCTTAAGCACTCCATCTTTCATTTCTCGGCTCACACTTTGCCAATTCTTAGAGGCACTTTCTTTTCATTGGGGACTAGAGAGAATTAGCATCACTCTTTCTTGATCATTTCATTCTTTTTCTCCCTTTTTTATTTCTCCATGTTTGGGATCATTACCTCTTTTTGAATTCCTTCAACCCTTCCACTTATTCACTTTTTGCATCATTCTTTTTGTTCTTTTCTTTTCTTGCCTTTTCTTCTCATAGAGATCATTTCATTTCTCTTTTTGTGCCTTGATACCTTTTTCAAGTTCCTCATCTCTCCCCCAAACTTACGTTTTAAGACATTTGTTACACAGGAGTGTTAAGGAAAGCTCAGGTGCCAAGAGAGGGTCATGACCAAACGGGTAAAGGCCTGTAACATGGTTATCAAATGAAAAATGTTATAGGCTCAAAGGAGTTGACTAGGGATAATGAAATTGGTTGGCAATAGACAACTCAAATGGGCCATGGAGAGCCTACAATCACTTCTCAAAACAAGCAAAACTTAGGATTTCACCTTGAAACACAT